GCGTGTGTATTTTGGCAGCAATCCTTCTTTCATTCACATTACATTGAATACGACAGACAAGGTGCTTTGATTTAGTTTTTTATAAAATTTATCATGTAATCTAATATTTTTTTTCTTTTTAGATGATAAATTATATAAAAACTGTCTGAATGTTCTTCTTTTCCGAGCGCTTTTGGCTATACATATATATATATGTATTTATATAATGTTTTCATTTTTTTCAAAACACAGTCAAGGTATTGTGTCCATGTTCACAGTTGAGTGTTTTTATTTATTAATAAGCCTTCCATTATTTTTAGCCTTTTTTGCATGTAGATGATGCTATTATATTTGTGTTGTCAACATGTTACAAATAGGGTCCGTTAGGGTTCCTCTCTGTTTTTGTCTCTCTCTCTCTCTCTCTCTATATATATATATATATATATATATATATATATATATAGAGAGAGAGAGAGAGAGAGAGAGAGAGTGAGAGAGAGAGAGATTGAACGCTGCATAAGCAGTAAAAACGAACAGTTAAAAAGTTTTGAATTCACAGAAACACACATACATACTCACAGACAATTTAACTCCCTGAAGATGGTCTGAAATGGGATTGAAAGTACTTGGGAAAATAAAAACTATTTGAAAGAAAAATTTGGTATTTTTCGTAATCAATTTTCTAAAGCTACCAAGAAATTCATTCGCGAAATGTAATCCATCACAACGAAAATTAATCGACATGTCTAAATTATTTAACCAAATGCAGCGTTCTCTCTCTCTCTCTCTCTCTCTCTCTATATATATATATATATATATATATATATATATATATATATATATATATATAAAGATATGGGCAGCAATCCCTCTTTTATACAATTTTTTATTGAAGAATAAAATGTGTATATTGTGTCGAAGTTGTGGATAGCTGCCCGAAGTTCATAGTTTTCTCATTATCAAGACCATATGTGGGTGTAATTAGAATTCCTTTGCCTTTAGAATTAGAATTCTACAATTTCGAATTCAATACTCAACACCTTATTCGAAGACTTCAAAAATAACATATGACGAGATTGTATGACAAAGAGGAAAAGTTTACTAGTGACACGTTTTGTCCTTCAGGACTTCATCGTACTAAATTTGTTATGTTGGTATGACTGCACATGCGCACGGCAGAGGAGTGCTAGGAATTTAAGATTTTTTTTTCCTTCGTCAACCGAAATCATTAAGAGTCATTTCCTTGTTGTTTCCATCGTTTTTGTAAGTAGGTATTCCACACTGGGTACGAACCAGGGTGCAAATTTACTGTAGATGACCTTGCGATTAATCACTCTGGGCATTTTCGTTGTAGTGAATTA